CATCCTCAGAAGAGCAGCAGGGCTTACAAGATGCCGGCGTTCAATCGTTCCCCGGCCTTACGCCGGTGGACGAACTAATAGCAGATACAGAGTATACTCCTTCACTGGAGGTGACCGCCGCCGCGTCAGCCCTAGTGTTCCCGGCAGAAACTATTGAACAGGGAACTACAGACGGGGAGCAAGCAAGTCTTAAAAGGAGATTAGACGAATCATTCGGTGAGGAGGATTGGGGGAAAATGCTGATACTTGACATGCCGCATGGAGAAGGCCCGCTACAGCCTGCCCCTCCTCCCGACCCTGAATTCGATGCTTTTATTGACACTGTGCTGTTTGGCGGCGAAGATCCCTTTGCTGAATTGGGCTGGTTGCCATCAGACGAACCACAGAACTCTGAACCACTTGGTCTTTCGCTTGGTTCGTGGCCCACCGCATCATCAGCAGCTGGCCAGGACGAGAGAGCTCCATTGAGTACGGCGCATGAAGGGCTTTCAACGTCCTCTCGAGTAGCAGGACCTCCTAGGAGAGAGCGTAAACAGAGAATCATCGTTAGGCAGGAGCCAGACTCATGCCCCTCAAGTCCCCAGAATATACAACGCGGCTCAGCTGCTGAAGTTGCAACAGGGAACGCTGCCCTGGACGGGCGAGCTCCATCGAGCACAGTGCATGAAAGGCCCTCAACGTCTCCTCGAGTCCCAATAATTCTTAGAAGAAGGGGCCGTGCGCATGGCATAAGCGAAAAGCAGACTCCTGCTTCAGGCCGCTCAAGTCCCCAAAGTATACCAAGTGACGCAACTGCTGAAGTTGCAGCAGGAACCTCTGGCCTGGACGGGAAAACTGCATCGATCACAGTGCATGAAGGGCCCTTAGCGTCCTCTCCGGTATCAGGAACTCCTAGGAGAGAGCATAAACAAAGAATCATCGTTAGGCAGGTGCCAGATCTAGGCACCTCTACTCCCCAGGATACACCACGTGGCTCAGCTGCTGAAGTTGCAGCAGGAACCTCTGGCCTGGACGGGAGAGCTGCATCGAGCACAGTGCATGAAGGGTCCTCAACGCCCTCGCGAGTACCAGGAACTCCTAGGAAAGAGCATAAACACAGAATCATCGTTAGGCAGGTGCCACACCCAGACCCCTCAACCCCCCAAAATATACCACGTGGCCAAGCTGCGGCGCGTCTCCGCAGGATAGCACCAGCTGCGACACCTGTAGGGGGAGCAGTTCACTTCCAGCAACACCATTCAATCATACTGCTCTCTTCTCCCACTGCCCCTGCTTCTGTGCCGCAGATGCCGCTGCCTGCGGGTACCACGGTGCGTGAGCAGCTGACGTCACCGCAACACATTGAAGCTGCTACATGCAAAATGTGCAAGCATGCATGCATAGACTAGACTCCACTACTCGATGCTTCCTGTACTTGCTGCAGCAGTCGCCTGTATCTGTCGTTCAACTGCCTGGTGTGTGCGTGTTTTATGTGTCCATGCGTGCATATGGCTGTTGCGATCAGCTGATGAAGTGCAGTAATCAGGATTGAGTAGTGTTTTTGTTGTAGTGGGTGCTTCTGCTGCTGCTGCTACTGCTGGCGCCTTTGCTGCTGCTGTTTTTGCTGTGCTTGCTTCAGCCAGCAACAGCGTCGGTGCCGCCTTCTGATGGGGACGCCCTTCTATATTTCGATTGGATCAGGCACATGTTTTCGGGGTTTTCTGCGGAGCTTTGGGTGACCCATCCTTTTTATCGTTTTCCGGCAGTCCAAGAGACATCTCCAACTGAGGAGACAGCGACTATAAGAAGCTTTGATCTAGCAATAGCAATGTCATTGGGTACAACCCAACGGCGTGCAGTTACGGTACTCAGGAGCTGCGGAGAAATACTCAAGAAGGACACTTTTACCCCGTCAGACCTCAAGGAGCTTTTGTCCAATGTAGAATCCCTCTGTTCATT